CTCACCCTGAACGGCTCCCGCAGCATGGAAGTGCCTTGGCTGCAGCTAGCCTTCTTTCTTGAATCCAGGCCTAGTCGTTTCCTCAATGCCTGGTGGACACGATGTTTCACCACGAATAGGATAAAGATCATAACGCCTTGCAGGGAGTTCAATACGTCTGGCACGTAGGATACTTCATCCACGTATCTGTAGTCGGTGTACTCCTTGATGAACGAAGCGATAATCTCTGTCACCCAGAATATACCCATCACGACGAACAGTTTCACGTTCATGATGAACCTGGATGGTGAAACCATATGTACGTTTAATGGAAGGTGAGTTCGATGAGAAGGTTGACGAGTTAATTCTCTGCATTTGGTGCCCATATATAGTATTTATTACAATATAGATGGGGAAAGATTCATAGCTGATATTAACTCATTTGCACCATGGCCCTACTTAAGGTGCCGTGTTCAGGCATCAGCGACGTTCAACTTACGACTAGCCCGTATCATCGCGCGCGTATCAGCACCTACTCATAATGGCAGTTAAAAGGATTTTCACAACAAAAGTAAAACTTGTTAAGAATATAATGAACCAATGTAGATGAGATGCTCACGAAAAGGATCAAACGTGATCTGTGGCATATGAAGAATATTTAGCGACAATCGTAGCTCGCGGAATATTCCGCGCTCGGTGATCGACGACAGTCGTGGCTCGCGGAATATTCCGCGCTTGGATGCAAATGGGTTAAGATTGAAACAATGAAATATGTGAAATATTACAGTGGATAAATTAACAATTTAACGAGTAACTTTTCCAAACTTAATAGGAAATTCTCAATGGACATTGAATGATTCAAAATTTTGAAAATTGATATAGTTAACCCTTTGCACTCGATTGGCACCCTTTAGTCGCCATTTGATCAAATTTCGAAACTCGATATTAATTAACATATCAAATTTTAAATAATGTAACAGTGCGCGAGGTATCGAAACTAAATAATTCTACGTGTCAATTATTATACCATTTCTTATTTACTGCTCAAAAAATATCATCAGCTTTATAGCAGAAAATTCTTCAACTCGTACTCTTCTTTAGCAAAAAAATCGTCGAGTGCAAAGGATTAAGCTTAAAATAATGCAACGATGCACGAAATATCAAAATACGCAAATTTTTTATTTACTTGTTTGTAAGTAATTTCCTTTTAGATAGAAAAGATTCGAGTTTCTCTATCCTAGAGGTTCCACGTGCAAAGAGTTAATTTTCTCCATGTCCTGTATCGAATCTCGTATTAGGGAAGAGGTTGGAGAATAATTAATCAGTCAGATGATGAAAAAGAGGATTGTATTTTATCAGATAAGAGATAAACTCACTTAATTTTGTTAGCCTGAAATCGTTTTCTCCTGGGATCCACTGGTTCAGCAAGCCTGCTTATCTCAGCTTTCACCTTGCTACACTGCTGCGCTGTGAGAATGAAGAAGAGCACGTTCATTATCAGCTGGATGGCAACTGGTACCCTGAAGAGAATCGATTCCGCCAATTTATCTGTAACATACGCAATGTTTCTGCAGGTGAATTCACTGCGTCAATGTCGTGCGAGACTCGTGGTAAGGAGATCGGGTTGAACACGAGTATCACGGGCGTGCGACGTGGTCTGTAATTAGGGCCCTATGTAAACAACACGGATCAGACTTATGGTTAATTTTCGTCGATGTCTTTCTGTCTCAGTTATTCTTAGGGTTTAGACAAAATGGCTGATCGTGTGACAACCGTTGCTGTTGATTATGACACGTGCCATCGGAACTTAAATGGTAGGACAAGATATTGACACTTTGACTACCATGCACTTTTTATACGATGCACTTAGGGGCTCACAATAAAATTTTCATTATTCTTAGGATATAATGATGAATTATCAAGCAATATAACAAAGAAAAATAAAAATGGTGTAAATTATTAATATTTTCTATTGAAAGCTCTCTATTTATTTACGTTCTTCAAATATTCAAAAATTGGTTAGAATGGAATAAATGTAAATTTAAAAAATTAGTACCTCCAAGCACTGGCGACCACCATGGGCCCACTGAGGAGACAAGCACCCGTCATCGATAACCACCATGACAGTCAACGTGTTAATTCGAAGAGGATATCGAATTAAAGGGAATATTAAATTAAAAGGAAGATTAAATGTGTATTTATGCATATGTTAATGGCAATATCCAATAAGAGTTTACGATGAAAATAGGAGCTGTTGGGTAAATGGGTTAATTGCATTTCGATTGCAAATTACTTTCGTATATAAATTATGAATATATTAACCCTTTGCACTCGACGATTATTTAGCTAAAGAGGAGTACGAGCTGGAAAATTTTCTGCTATAAGGCTGTTGATATTTTTCTAGCAGTAAATAAGAAATGGTATAATAATTAGGTAGAATTATTTAATTTCTATTTTAATAAATAAAAAGTAAAAATAAAAAGTAATAAATAGAAATTAATAAATAAATAGAATAAATTTAATAATCAGGTAGAATTATTTAATTATTTAATTTCGATACCTCGCACACTGTTACATTATTTTAAATTTGATATATTAATTAATATCAAGCTTCGAAATTTTATTAAATAGCGACTGAAAGGCGCCTCTCGAGTGCAAAGGGTTAATCATGTTCAATAATCGTCCAATAAGAATGGACATGCGTTCAATTATTTTGTTTAGATTATAAACCTAGCTCTTTTCCATGTTTTTTAATTTTCCACCTAAATTCGTCGCTCGAAGGAAGATTTAACAGCGGGAGTGAAATTAAGAGAATAGGGCCAGCAGCGAAGTGCCATAATTTCGTTGGGAATTTTTTCCTCGCGGAGAATACCGATAATATTGAAAATACGGTACGTGGTGAGCATATCCGACGGAAATATTTCGCGTTGATTCAATATTTGATTTGAAAACGCGCGAAATCCGCGGTCGCAATTTGCGTCTACGCTGGGCGGAGATACTAAGGATAATCACAGGGGGTTGTTCTTTCAGCGGGACTCCCTGTGTTTTTATCTTTAATTCTCGAAATTCAAACGCATCCGTGGGAGAGACAGGAATACGATTCTGGTAAATCGTTGAGCGAGAATTCGAGATCTTACAAGGAGAGTGCAAGTCCTTAGGGTCACCGATTTAGTTGAAACTTTGCAGGTTTGTAGAAAGTATCATGCAGTTTAAGAAAATATATCATTACAGCTGCAGCTACTCAATAGTTTTTGAGATATCTGCGATTAAAGTTTTATTACTACTTTAATTAAAGATTTATTTCTAATATTTTTCAAGCGAAGTCGTGGCCTATTGGCAACAGTCAGTAATTCTACGCTAAAAGCCGGGGTTCGATTCCCGACCATAATTGGTAGCTTTTTCAATCTATTTTTATTTCGTGTTCACCTTTCGTTTATGAAAACATTGTGAATAAAATTTTTTACTAAGAAAATTTATTTTTTACAGTTTCTTATGCAAATATGTATTTATTATAAGATAATAAGAATATTACGCAAAAAAACGCTTTTCTATAGCAGTCATATTTACTACAGGAAATACAGAACCTATCGCTCATGTAAGTATTAATGATTAAATTAAACATTGTATAAGAATGTTGCCTATAATTCCAACTTTGCTGTGCAGCTATAAATGTTCACTAATTAATTACAGAAACTTGGAAATTCATTAATTTTCTGCTGCCGAATTGAATTATTAAGGTGTATTATTAGCGCCTAACCAGAAGTGGTATCTAGTTCGAATAAAAATTTTACTGCCTGCGATCAGCACCATCTATAATTTTGGGATAGTTTCTCGAATTGTTTACTAATTCTGGTTATCTGCACCTAATATATTTTACTCTATTTTAATAAATCAAATCATAAAGTTTTCTACATTCTTTAATAAATTCAGCCGAAACAGCGGTTTTGATTAGACAATCAGCATTCATTTCTTTACCTGGCAGACGACAAATATGCAAAGGTACGCCGTTACAACGCAATTATAAAACTTCATAAATTAAACACAGAAATTGAGCGATTTGTTAATTTTACTCCAAGTAAACAGAACAGCGCATGGAAAATGAGAAAAAATTGCAAACAAACACTGGAAGCATTGTTATGTCCATGCAGGTGTGCCTGCACCACGAAAAGAATGTAAGTATTTGTATTAACATAACCTTTACTTGTAATTAAATAGTGCAAGTTATGAACCATTGTTCCCCCACCTTTTATCAGTGATAGCAGAACCAGACTGTGAGAAAACAATATTCTGTTGAAGTAAACAGGCATATGCTACAATAGAAAAATATTGGACTCATGGAATATCATTAGCGTACATGCCAAGAATTATATTTTGTAGTGAGAAAAAATTGAAGCAGCCATACAAATATGTAAAGTACGATATGCCTATTGAATTCTAGGTCGGTTAACCATATGACATACAAGATAGAAGTCTTTGATGGTCAACTAAAGATTCAGAAAATGGAGATAGTTTAAGCAGACAAAAAGGAATACAATTAATTTAGGTGATGGCCTCTTATAACAACAAGCTATGGAGAATACAATGAGATTGAAAGGTATGTTGTATTCCTGACCTAAATGAATATTAATATCCGTGATCAAAGTCAATAATCATCGCTAATGTGTTAAGTTCGAATAAAAGGAATGAAAAGAAAGAAACATATTATGGGAAATCAAGAAACAGAAAAGAGGCAGCATATCTATCAACAGAGAAACTTGTGTGGCATTGATTTGCAAATGTGAGGATCATTGAAGAGATGGAGAATGAACAATTGGTAATAGTTATGAATGGTAAAGTTAAATTGAATATAGAGTGTAAATGTTGTATTAAGGCACGTATGTATGGAAATATCTAGGAACTTGGAAACTATAAAAGCAGCAATATAATGGTGCTGTGGTATATCATGGAATTCATTCGGCCAATAAAGCGAATGTCAAAAGGATGTAAAAGGTACGTCTTACCTGTTGATAATTATTCGAGAAAAGAGCCATTTGGTTGACTGATTTATAAATGACTAAAGATTTAATATGAAATGTTATTCATGAAAGGCTTTTTCTATTATAGGAGACTTACAAACATGAGTAATATTCATATGCAAGAGCCAGCCACTAAGGGTAAAGTAATAAGTATCATTTCAATGGATTGTATATCTGTCTTTAAAAATTTATCCGATATACAATATTTACATTCTAAATTACGATATATTAATATATTAAATAATTTCTAATTTGAATTACAATAATAAATAATAAATTTTAATAAATTTGATTTTAAAAGTATTTTACATTAATCAAACTAATATATTTGTTATAACTAGGTTGTAATGAAAACAACTATTGGTGATGTTGGGTCAGAATTATGGGCAAAAGAAACTCCAATAGCATGTAGAAATTTCATACAATTATGTATGGAGGGATATTAGGGTGACACTATATTTCATAGAATTATCAAAAGATTCCTAACACAAGATGGTGATTCCACAAGTACAGGAGAAGGTGGTAAAATATATGGAGAACCATTTAAAGTGAGACTATATTTAAAATTAAACAACTCCCTTTTTTATTCAAAAATAATTATTGTATATATATGTTTTAGGGCGGATTTCATACACGATTACGTTTTTATCGACGAGATTTAATTGCTATGGTTAGTGTTAGAAAGATGACAATGGTTCCCAATACTTCTTCATTCTTAGTTCTACACCAGATTTGCAGAATAAGCATACAATCTTTGGTAGAGCTACTGGTGAATCTATATATAATATGCTTAAACTCGAAGAAGCACTTGTAGGTAAGGTAAATTTAATGTTTGCAAGAATATATATCAAGAATTCATATAAATATAATATTTCCTCTGTTTTGTAGAATGATGAACCACATTATCCTCCAAGATTGATAAAAACTATAATACTGAACAATCCATTTTCTGATATTATACCAAGAATAATAGTACAGGAAAGTGAAGAAGTAAAGGACAGTTATAAAGCAAAAACAGCAGCAGTAAAATAAAAATCATATATATTTGCAGAACTTAGTCCTGATAGTATTGTTCTTTGCAATGAAAAATTTGGTTACAGAGATTTCAATCTTTTATCGGTTGGTGGAGAAGCAAAGGAAGATGAAGAAGAATCTGTGATATTAAATAAAAAGTTTACTGGTAAAGGCAAATCAGCTCATGATCATTTAACTGATCCAAAATTAAGCTCACAACGAGCTGTTGAACCATCTTGAGTTGCAAATAAAAAAAGGAAGGAAGGCTGCAGTAGCGATTGGAAAAGTGACGACGAAGTACAAACCCAAGGCAAACTAGAAGTTGTAAAGAAACAGAAAGAGTTAGTTTATTATTTGCATTATAACTATGTTATAGAAAGTAGGAATTTTTATTGACTGTCTCTTATATTTATATTTTCAGAGCAATTAAGAAAAGTTAAAAATACATTTAGAGATACAGAAAAGGAACCGAAGGAAATACAAACTTATAAAATAGGTGATGCTGAAGATGATAAGATT